ACTTTGGAGACGAAAAGTAGTAGGGCGGGGGGGAGGGCGCGCGCCGTAGATGCATTATCTCAAAGCTCTGTGCGAGTGAGTGTCCATCGATCGTTGCACTTTTCACGTGATAAAAAGTAAGCGACGACGTCGACAGCGAGGCGACAAAAACAGCGTTTATATATATAACCCAGGCGAGAACACGGCCGGAGCCAAACGTGGACTCTCTAAGTGCATCGTTTACGTGCGCATATATATAATGGCAAAAAAGGGTTTGGCAGTTCGCGAGCAACCAAGAGTGAAACTTGCTCAAAGCGCTGCTGCGGCTGCTGCAACTGCAGCTTAGTCCAGACTTGGATACGTGCTGGCCGTAAGTTCACGGCTTATCGAGCTCGTTCTCTATGCAAGAGGCGCGCATCGCCACTGCTTTCCAGGCATTTTTTGATTTTGTTATCGGCCTCATTCATCGGGAATACGTACGTACGTCTGGCATCATCGGGCCAGTGCAAACAATCGAAAGCGATTAGTAAATATGTGCGTGAAATAAATAGGCGTAGTCGGCCAGCAAAGTGCTGCACGCGCGTTATATTCTCAATACGTCATTCAATTTTCATATATCAAGGGAATACGAGACAGTGCACGTGTGCGCATCTTTCTGCGCTCGCACGGAACAGAACAGCAGCCGAGCATCCAACATCTCGACTGGCATCATCTAAAAAAGTATTATCATGATAATAATAACCAAGAGCAAGAGAGTTGAGCTCGAGCTGCTTTATATATATGTATATAAACGCCATGAAAACATCAAGCTTTAATCCGAGCAAACTTTGGGAGCCGCAAAAAAATCCGAGTGATTGAGAATCGAGATGCACGAGAGAAAGAGAGAGAAGTCCTGGACTACGGCCATCAGAAGAGCACCACCAATAAGGGTGGCCAAACCAAGGGGGAGACTCGTTTACAGTCGATTCTTATATGCGAAGAGAGAGAGAGAGAGAGAGCGGGCAAAGCATCGCGAAAGGCAAGCCAGATGCAAAGGGGAAAACGAGACGTCTATGCAGAACGCTATAAGGACTGCAGAGCGCACATAGCCGGGCAAAAAAGTATTCATTGTAAGATTGGCGCGTGTACGACTCCTGCTTACCCCTACCCCTGCGCGACTTGCACGTAGCACACACACACACACGCATACGCACTGCGATGTTTTTTCTTTTTTCTTTATAAAATTTGTGCATGTGTGTGCGCCCGATGCTTCGTTGCTTCGTCCCATTGCAATTGTGCGCAGACGCGCACGCATCGGCGTACGTTATATACCGAGTGATTTCGCAAAAGCCAAGACACTTGATTGTCACTGGCTGCAGCACGGGGCACATCTGCCGCACGGTATCGCCGCGATACGTACTAGCAATTTTCCATCAACTGCCTGTGCTCGACTGCGTAGACGACAAATATTGATGCGCTTCGCCGTGTTGCATTGAAATTTAAGCGAGGATCAATTAACTCGTCTTAATTTCGTTATTTATTAATATACACGAATGTGGGCTCGTTCGGGAATAAAGAATCGCTAAAACGCGTTGATTAAAATCCAAGACGCCCGAGATACTCGGCGATTTTCTATACCACGCTCAACATCAAACCGTCGTTAAACTAATTAAATAAAGAGCAGAAAAAAGTACGTACGTGTCTCGCATGTACACACATAACGTAGCTCTACGTAATTTATATACATTCGTGAAGAGCGGGAAAGAACGAGGTTCACGCTGCAACGAGCTAATCGTTTGATAAGGCGCGCCAAGCAGCAGCAGTGCCTCAATGATGTACGTCGGAGCAAAGGTTGCCTCGTGCGAGCAGCAGCAGCAGCAGCCTTGCCTCGCATACACACAGTCGTGCAAGCTCGCGCGAGCAGAATAAAAAGTCACACGTGTGAGAAGCGTTGCTCCGAGCGAGAGGCTTAATTACCAATTAAGAAGAGCAGCACGTCGTCCGCCAATGCTATACGTATACGTGTGTATAATATTCGCGCACCGGCATCTCTGGTTCGACGCCTTTCACATTGAAATCGTAGCACCCTCGCTGAATAGAAGCGTTACGCGTGAATTTCATGCCTTACAAGACGCTAACATTTATAAGCTCGCGCGCGCGCATGCCACACACGCGCCCGCGTTCACATTCACACGTCTCGACGCGTCTTTTCGAGCCATGCTCTGCGATGCTCTCTGTAGCGAGGCTCCGTCGTCGTATATAGCGTACAACGTAGGTGTGCGAGCGCACTTTATTTTCTCGCTCTGTTTTTTATTTATTTTTTTTTTTTCATGTCGCTACTGCTGCACCCCCTCGACGCCAAGGTGCATCGTTGCGCGCTTCGCCTTTCAAACGAAAGCTGCTGCTGCTAGCCTCGTGAAATTGCCTTGATATGTCGCGGCAATTACGCTTCTCACTTTCTGAGCTGCATGCGCGAAGCGATACATGCACGCACTCGCGCTACACATTCGCGTTAGCGATATATATTCAACGCATTTGCGTGTTGATGCGTTTTCTTATTAGTCTTAATTACACGAGTTGCTCGGGGAGAAAAAATTTCTCATTGTCCCCGAGTAATGTTATTCTAACTTATTGAAAAGTGCAGTTGCGTAACCAACTTGGCGTACTACGCTAGGAAAAAAGTCTGACTTTCCCCAGCGCACGAGTCGAGTTAAATACGATCGCGAGTAGAGAGAAAAAATGACAAATCCCGCCAAAAAGTCGCTTTTTTGTTAGCGCTGCGACCCTCCTTTCGCAGGCCAACCTCCGTACGTACGGTAGAATATACATGGATGTAGATGAAAGAGCGAGAGAAACGAAACCCCTCAGGTGTACGGCTAATTGTTTTTGAAACGTCTTGTGTGCGCGCGAAATACGACTTATCACTCTCTTTCTTATAATAGAGTCGCCTGCGACACAATGAACTTTGGGCGTTACCGGGGACTTTAAAAACATCTCGGCTTTCGTTCTCGTGGGAAACCAAGACGGTAGCACCGATGTGTTTGTGCGTGTGTCGCACTGTTCATACATAAGGGGTGTACAGCTACGACGTCGACAACTACTTCTGACGACCGTTGAGAGTACGAAGGGAAAGACATTTTTCAGACTCAAGACCGGCTCTAGTGGCGTAGTAAGAAAGCGCGCGCATTGATTACACATACGTTCTCGCTCTCTCGGTTTCGGAGGGGGAACACCGTTGCGAGAGAGAGAGGCTTGCTTGCAGCGCGCTGCAACTGCTATATATTGACTCTCACTGCCGCAACTTTTGTACAGAGGGTAGAAAGACGAGTACGTGAAATTCAAGACGTTGACTGTGTGCGCATATACCTACCTACGTACACAATTCCAACGACTTTTGACGCCATCGTGTGCGCTGCTAAAACTTAAACATTATGCGCTGAGCCTACCCCCTTGGAGAGACTTCGGGACGATGCTGCTGCGAGGAAAGTAACCGTAGACGCGGCTAATGAATTTGTTCGAGGTGAATAACATCAAACCGTTTCTCGAGCAAGCAAAAGAAACTTATCTTCTATCCTTGTAAAGCGATCTAAGTCAACTTTTTTCGAATATCAAAACACGAGCGAATAGCAATTGCTCGAGATAAAATCTAACGTTGTATCTATAGCATCTCAATGAATACAGTTTAAAAATTGATATCTCGACAAAATTGATTCTTAAGGAAATTCCGAAAAGGTATAAAAAAGTACGCCAGACCACGTCTTCACTGCTACTTTAAAGCCTTGAAGAGGCTTATTACGATCCTAATTATCGCTGTAATTTCATAATAGAACGCCAACGCAGCAAGCCGCGCAATCCGCTCGCTCGCTGAGCGCTTACGTGCGCGAGCCCACGCCCTTTTTTCCTTCTCAAGTGTCTATAACGCGCGCACCTATGTATATACGCGACTCCCTCGATGAAAAAAAAAGAGTGGCAAATCTCGCGCTCGGCCACTTTTTCCAGCTCGCTCTTCTTCGCTCGGTACGTCACTTGCCTGAGGTGCATCTATATACGCGTAGATTTATACATCCGATGCGCCGGTATTACGTCTGAAAATCAGCCCTTTTCTCTGACGGCGATAAGAGAGACGACAGCGCGGCGCGAACGAGAGAGACGATGGGTGCTGGCTTTAATTAGACACTCTAGGTGTGCGCGCGCGTCAAGCTCCGATACAAGCTCCGAACGCTTCGCTGGCTAAGGATCATAGAGAACGCGGAATGGCTTATTCGAGTGCCTCGGCACATTCTCGGCGCGCGCGAGATTGTCGCATCAGCATCGAAGATGAGCATCATATATAATGCCATGCGCACACGTACATGTATACACGCGCATAGAGACGTCGAGCCGTGCAGTCAATGTGTTTTCGTCTTTTTTTTTACCCGCACTCTCTTTCGCCTTTTCTCTCTTATCGCGCGTCACTTTGAAAAAAGGGCCTCGAGGATCATCAGACGTTGACCTCGCTCGACGCTCCGGATTGTTCTAATTAGCTCAAAAGAAAGAGATGTACACGAGTGGTGTACGGAACGGAGTATCTGCATCTCTCGCCCGTCGAGAGAGAGACAGAGAAAGAGACGGCGGCTGCCAAGTATTCCATATTGCACGCGCGATCGCTTGTGTGCGCTACGTCTATACACTTGGAGAGAGACAAGCGCGTGTGTCTTTTGTGCTCTTGCCACGCTCGCGCATACGAAGAAACCGTCCAAGCATTAACGAATAATAAGAGAAGTTTCAAGCTCCGTGTGTACATTCGCAACTCGTTCGAATGTTGGTAGCAAAAATTGATGCTCGATAAGATCTCGTTAGCTGCACTGCATATGCCTATCCCAACGTATACGCTTCTTTTACCCTTCGAGTGCGCTATCGGGTTCACTCGAGCTTCGTCTTTCGCATTCTTCAATCGTTATTCATTTTTTTTTTTTTCATTCAAGCAATAGCAATAAATAACGTTGTTAATGCAGTTTGTTGCTTAGAAACCAACTAACCTACTGTTATTTTCATTTCCGCAGGGAGTTCTACTACATTCAAATGGAGAAGTATGCGAGACAAGCAGTGGCCGAAGGCATCAAATGCGTCGAAGACCTTAAGGTCGTCGGAGATTCTGAGATTTACCGGGTGCTAAATCTTCACTACAACCGAAATAATCACATTGAGGTATGGAACCCACAGGTGCGCAACTGGCACAATACAGAACACGCGCTCGCTGTTGTTTTTTTTCCATTCTTTTGTTTATCAGTACCCAACTTCATCAATTTCATACTTTATTTTCATTAGTCTTATTACTGAGCTTTAATCATTTTTGGTAAAATAACTCATCATAAGTGACAATAATAACTAACGATCGTTTTTTGGTATCATTGCAGGTACCATCGAACTTCCGAAAGGTCGTCGAAGAGACTCTCAAAGAGTTCTTCAAGGCGATCCAAGGTGGTAAGGATACGGAACAGTCCTGGAAGAAATCCATTTACAAAGTGATCTCAAGGCTGGACGATCCTGTGCCGGAGTACTTCAAAACTCCCAATTTTCTGGAGCAACTCGAGTGAAGGAAGCCGCGCGGCCACTCACTTTACGCTCGGTTGTTACTGCATTAGAAAAATGGGATGAAACACGTCGCTTCGTCGTGGCCTATCAAAACTTTAATAGAAAAAGGAAAGCCCTCGCGCGGCTACTTTTTCTACTAACTACTACTAATGCTACTACTACTACTACTGCTAGTGCACCACTGCAACTACGGAGAAGAGGACTACGAGCAGGGATCATCGCGACGATTCAGTGCATCGCAACAAAACTATCGCTAAGTAACAAAGTTGGTTTGGAAAAAGCCAATCAGTACGAGATATACATAAGAGCTATAAGTCCTCCCTTAACTATAACGATATGGTTGAACGTATTACAAATATATATGATATAGCAGGTATCCTTAAAGTTTCGAAAAAAAGTCACGTAATTAAGCGAACAAACCAAATAACTGAGCGTGATGTAAGCCAAGAGTGAACCAAAGGTCGCGCCGTCGCAGAGAGACGCTCAGGGACTGAGTCGAGCTTCGAAACGGAAAGCTCGATGACAAAAAAATGACGCAAATAATTGCAAACAGCGACGACCATAAAAAAGCGGAACAAAATATAGTGTGATTGAACGTAAACAATGTGTAGATATCACATGGATAATGAAGTGTTGTTTGTCAATTACAAAAATGAAACAAAAACGTTTGTGTCGCCGCGTCGTTGTGATATATAAAATATTGAGCTGTTCTCCTGCGCGGCGCTCGAATTTCGCCTTCGTGGACTCTTGAAGCAGTGTTCTAAAATTGGTCTCGTGATACGTTTACGATAAAGAAAACGAAGAAGACGATACGAAGATCCGCCGTCAACGCATCGAAGCGATAAAAAAGGGGACACGAAAGCGTTACGCAGTTTTATTAGTTCAGTAAGTCAGGTGTTGAATGGAAGAACGATTATCGATGCATGTCGTAATTGATAAAGAAACGTGGGAAATTCTGAGGAAATTATTTAGCGCCGTTTGTACAAATGCAAAGAAAATTATCGATTTAAATAACTTTAAGCTTGTTTAAAAAACACAGAAGCTACGTTATCTGGTTAATTACTTTTTTAATGGTAAAACATAATCGATAAGACCCAATTTTTAAGTACATGGTGAAATCGTGTAATTACAATTTTAAAGTGAACTCAGCAAAACGTACTCGAATTCGTTACTGAGATCGATCTAGCGTTGAAAGAAACAATGAAATTTTTACTTTTGCACTCAAAATCGTGTTCATACACAAATCTTAAGGCTCTGACAGTGATGTCAAATGAATGCTGTCCGCCTTCATTTGATATCATTGTTAATGCCGATATGATTTTTAAAACTATCTGTGGAATTTTGCTTGTCTAATATTTGGCGAAAAACGTTTGATCAATTTTGGTTCGAGCACGTAAAGGTGCAGATCCTTGAGTGTACAAAATCATATGTTTTGAGTCAAAAATTAGAAACGAATGATTTTTATCATTTTTAATTCTCACAAAACTTCTTTTCATTGTTAGGAATAAAAAATAAACATATCTTTACACACAAAATCAAACATGACACATTTTATATAAACACATTTAAAGGTTTAAAAAAAATGAGTTTTATTCGTAAACTTACTATCTTAATCGTTCAAAACCTCTTTAGAATCTTCGAAAATTAAAATGTTGATTTGATTTAATATTTATAAAATTTGTCGAAAGTTTCGGAAATTTTCTTATTCGCGAATTGTATGCAAAATTATAAACAAGTCAATAGCAAAAATGTAAGCATGTTTCAAGCCTTAAATTATAAGTTGTACTAAAAATTTATCTAAAAAGCGGCGTCCTATAATTGGTTCGATTATATAAAAAAAAACGACAAAAATGTTAACTAACCAGACGCGGGTACGTATCTATCAAGAGTAGATTATAATACAAAGAAGATGAAATGAATGAATATTTATACGGATAAAAAATGATTATATATTAAAATAAATTGATTTTAAAAATTCATATGTATAGAATTAAACGAAAATTGTTTTTCGTTAGATTGTACAATGTATTAAGTACTAAAATACACTTACACTTGACGAAACATTGTCCACATTTTAAGTGTTATAAAAATCACGCACAAATGGAGTCAAAAAATTACACACATCACATTCATAAACGAAGCACGTGGCTGTACAATTACAGTACATTACCCGGTCTTTCAGTTCGTTTGAAAGATCGCACTTTGTAGATATTTTTTCGCTAAATAATATGCAAATTACGGATATAAATATTTATAAAATATATATTTATAATTTTAGTTACTAATATGATCCGAGCTAATTACATTGATTTTTCCATTGAGTATCACGGATGTAATAGCAACACTTTCGACGATGATATTGTCATATCCACAAAAATAACATCGCCGAAAGTTCTCTTTACAATTGTACAAGATGATTATATTTATTAGATAATTTTGCAATCGCACGATTCAGCGTTATTTTGATTATTACGAATTTGCAAATAATTAAGCAATGTCCAGTCTCTTAAGATTATTATTTATGTGATCGGCGTATTCAATATTTACTTTTTATGTCTCACTTCTGCCGCTTGATTATTTGATCTGCGTTTGATTTTCCGTTTACAATTAACTTCTTTATAAATGCTGTATTTTAGTTATTATTTTTGATCTTGTATAATATTATAGTTATTGATTTTTATATTATAATTTCATGTAGCATGACACCACGCGTATACACTTTTTTGCAAGCGGTGAGTCTTAACCTAGTCACGAGTCACTAAATTTTTAATTAATTAATATGAGCCGATTTATTAGTTTTTATTTATGATTTATTATTATTATCATTATTATTACTATTATTATTATTATTATTATTACTATTATTATTATTATTATTATTATTATCATTATTCGCATGATTATTGGTATTATTATCATTATTATCACTTAAATAAAACAAAAAATAATGAATATGCAATGTATTTATTATGATTTATCATTTTAAACCCAATTTCCTTTTTCCTAAAAATTATTTAAATTATGTGTATTTTTTAATGCTTTGCTTAGTTATGATAAATGGGTTTTATTTTTTAAAGCTTGAATATATGCTCTTGAAATGTGGTTACCACATATTCAAATTGGAGTCGAAAAAAAGAAACTCAATTGGTTAACGTTGCTCTGTTTGCTGTCAAAGAACGTCTCGGCCTACGTTTTGGAATCGCTAACGTCTCGCGTTCGAAAGACTTGCATTTAATCAATTTTCAGTGCTGCGCCGCAAATCCAATCAAGAAACCCCGACCAGTGCGCGCGCGACAAAAGAAACTATTTAAATATTTTAACAAAAAAAGATAAAAAAAATTCGCTGCTCGGCAGACGTGAAACAAAGAATGAATGAATTCCTCGTTCGATTTTGGCCTAACGCGAGAGAGTGATAAATATTTCAATGAAGAAAACAAAATGTTTCGGTACTATTAATATTACTATTATGAAATAATACTATTAGTGGCATGTACATATTTTATATAAATAAATAAAATAAATAAAATTAAGGACATTCTTTATATATGTACATGTAAAGAATGTTTGGATTGTGGCATTTTCGTCGTTTGGTCTAAATTGATAAACATTTTGTGCCTAAAAAAACTTATTACGCGCAAAAACGCGTGTCTGGTTCAGGATCTATAACAATGTCGCGATTTTTTTTTTGGATTTGCGATTCAGCGGTGCTTTCAAACGCACGCAGTCTCTTGGACGAGTGACGGTATGGAACGACACAGTTCGGCAAAATGTTCCTAAAAATCAAAATTTATTTAATATTAAATTACAAAAAAGATGATGTGATGGACGTAAAAAAGTTTACACTTGACAATGCAACAGAGTACGTTGATTGAAAACAATTTTTTTTGATAACACTATGATTGAATTTTAATACATTCATATACAACCACACAACAAACATATTAATTAAATTTCAAGAAGTGTTATTAAGGTAGTGTAAAAAAGGGACGCCGCTAAATTTCTAAAATATTTTTTTTAAATAATTTAAACGTCTCATAACTAAATTCGTAAAAAATAAAAATAAATCCATATGAATCGTATGGAGCAAGATCGGTAATAAAATTTGATGATCTAAGAGAAATTTCCCATTTCACAACGAGATGCGTCGATCTTGAGGTTCAAGTATAGCAAACTTGAAAGAGTTGTCGAAGGTTTAACGGCAAAATCTTCTTCTTCGTTAGAATATAAGAATACTTGAAACGATACCAATGCTAATCGTGCATAAATAAAAATTCGAATCATGAAAATATTTGGGGGGATGATGCCTTTTCATATCTTTAGAACAATCCCTGATTAGCATCAATAAAACTGAAGTTACATGCGATAGCGATGGCTGAATTTTAGTGAGCGCGTTAAAGATTTCATTGAAAACACGCAGCAAGATGCTAAATTATGAAAACATCATAGGTGTTCGAAACGATATCACGAAAAGCGTAAAGTTTTGAGTAATATAGTGGATAATGTTAAATACTTGCAAACTATAATTACAAAATATTTAAATATAAATACACGACACATGAATACCTATAAAGATAAATTAAAACGTGGTACAGGAGTACATAAACTACCTTTAAAAACTAATAAACTATTGATAACGATGATTATTACGATTCTTATACAAAATATATAAATATATATATATTATAAACTACGAAGTTTTCGCGTTTAAGGAAGTGATATAGATGATGCGAGATATTATAATATGGGCATGAACGATTGCCACAGAATAAAAATATTATAACCCGTAAACATAGAGATTTCAAAGAGAAAACAATTGAAGAGTTGTGGCGTGAAAAAAGAAGCGTATTTCTCGACTACTAGGAGCATATTGATGAAAAAAGAAGAAAAATAACTTTGAAAATATAATAAATATGTAAACAGTGTTTGCGTCAACACGCGATAATATGATGCACGTATGCATCCGGGATGAAAAAAATGAAAGGAGACTTAATGCGAACACGGAGGGTGCAAAGTTTTTCTTCGTTTTTTCGTAGCGCTAGGGCAAACAAAAAATTATATAAGAAATGAAAGCATGCCCTCCGTGCAATTATAAATTGCTTTAAAAAGTCGTGTGATTGCTTGTAAGATTTTAAGAATTGGAGGAAAACTCAAAGGAATTAAATTGACGTAGTAAACGAGATAAAAAAACTCAAATTTAATAAACCAAAAAAGGGCAAGAGATGATTTAAGAAGCTAAAAGTAAATAAAAAATCTTTTGAACAAAATGCTAGTCGATGAATACATATATAAATATAAATACCTATATATATATGCGTACGTCATATGTATGTGGATATATATAAAAAATGCGTGCGTGAAAGATTTTAGATGTAAAACCGTGACATAAAATTATTATGGGATTTTAGGTCAGTGTAAACCAAATAAAATGTGCATATATCGTGTGCGTGCTTATTATAAATAAAAATTATTGTGCGTGATGATAGAGAAAAATATTAGAGACGAAGGTGAAAAAAATGGCAAATTGAAACTGTGAGAGAATGAAAGAATGCGTTATGAAATTTCGACGTAAACCAAAAAGTAAGAGAAAGAGACTAATCACTACGTTTTTAAAAATTATGAAAAGAAAAAATTAAAAGTTAAGTAAAAAAATTAAGACACTCGATTTGCGTGTGCGCGTTACGCCAACTCGATTGTTGACATCGCGTGAAACAATTTTTTCTGTGTGATAATCTCATTAAACGCATAGCGTGGTTAAGCCTAAACGAAAAGATGAAAAAGAAAAGAGAGCTGCGACTTTAATTAGAAGAAGGAGGTAAAATTCGGTTATCACCTGCAGAGACGGATATGGTTAATGACGCGGTTTATATGACGATTTCCGATATGTTTATGTGAATGGACAAAAGATAAATGACAATTTCCAGAGGGGATGAGCGGCACGAGCCACACGCCACACACTTGCACGTGGTTGAATTTTATTCATTCTTTCGCGCCGCGATCGATCTATATACCAATATAATACAATATAATTGACAGATCATGCTGAACCGTCGACGTTACTACTCCGGTTCTCGCTTATATATATAAATATAATAAATCGACTCGTTTGCGTGAGCATGATTACTTTTTCCATGTATTTATAATGAACTCACAGATTGAATATTAATTTTCTTCGTAATTTGTGCACAGTCGATACTCCTGTCACGATGACGATCTTTAACTAAACTCAATCACTTTATTATTTGAAATAGGTATAACATGTGCGTCGGAAGAGTCTGTCGATACTCCAGCTCTTCATACGGTGATAGCAAACTTTTTCGGTTTTAAAAAGGAATCAAGCTCATTCGCGATGTCGTACGTTGCTTCATTCAAAGATACGCTTCTTTTTCTATCGAATATTTATATTCGACAATTTTTATCGATTTATCGTTAAACAGATATACACCGAGTATTTTTTTATACTGTCGTTCGTGCGTGTGAATAGATGAAAGGATAAACTTCGCGCAAACTTTGGCTGCTCATTCCTTCGAGAAATGTGAAATAAATCGAATGCGTCAGAAATTGAAAAGGTAAGAATTCAACCCATCTTTAAACGTAAAAGTAAAGAAAGGTGCGATCTCTGGTTTGACTAATGTGGATGGTAAAAAAGCGTTTGGGAGTCAAGTGTCCTTGATGCGACCGTCGTTCAAGCCGTAAATCTCGCGATCTCGCCATGACGCAGAAAAATAATATCCCATCGCTGCGCCATTAAAACGTAATCGCTGTTGCAAATACACAAAGTGTGCATTCAACCTACAATTGCTAAAGGAACGCACTCATAATTCTACATAAGGGTCATCAAAATTCAAAAACGTAAATTTTACGCAAAATTTTAATCAAATTCCAAAAAACCAGCGATTTTTGGACTGAGTTCGGAGTCATTTCATAGGCTGGAAACGTTCGGCGCAAACCGATCCTAAAAAAGACGAAAAAAGCGAGATGCGACGAGGATAATTAAAAAATAAAAGAAATTTACCAAGAGATGATGATGTTAGTGATAGTGTACGAATAAGTGAGTGAGTGAGTGTATTTAAAAGCAAAAAATTTAATAAAGTATCAGGCATGAATGAGTGTTGCAAAGCGTGAGCGACAACTATGATGAAAAAAATTATACAGAGCAAGCCAGCCTCCTTGCCTACCGGGAGGTTCGCTAATATATTGTAAAAAAAAAAACAACTTTAGTATGTGAATAAATTTAAAGGACTACAAAAATGAAGTGATTGAACAAATTATAGTATCCGTTAAGTGTAAAAAGTAAGACGAAACGATGAAGATGTAGACGAAAAGGAAAAAAAATTTAAGTCGTTAAAGTTATTATCATTCTTCGTGGACAATTATTCTTTGGCAAAACTCTTTTGGCATTATGTAGAACATGAAACGGAGACACATACACATTTATATAAAACGCACTTTTGGCAAAAAACGTTTGAGTGTATCAAGATTGACGTGAGTTCAGAGTGAATGTTGAGTGAAAAAATTACATTTTCGGAATTGAGCGTGTGAATGAGAGATTGAATGAGATTGGAATCTATATGGTTCCGTTGACGGCGTATACCAGAGAGAAAATGCTGAGATAATGGAAGAGAAAACGCATCTGATTAATAGACTTAAATAACTGAGAGGCACTATGCACTCGGAGACTACGAAGAAAAATAAATAGGGATATGGTTGAATTAACATTACCTTCAAGATGTATAATGACCAAAGAAAACGTATTATTAGAGAATATTGTAAAAAAATGCAAAAAC